TATATCTGAAAAAGCAAAACATTAAACAAAAAAATAAGAATAGTTGGGATCTTAAAATGTAATCGATCGAATAACTTTGACAACGCTGCAAAAATTATCCGCACAGGGGAACCGTCGTACCTATTTTCTGAAATTTTAATTTAGAATAATAATATTGTAATTCCTTGTCTTACCATAACGTGACTAGAATGCTAGGATGCATAATTAATAAATAATATTGGATATATAAATAAGTTCGTGACTTTTTTTTACGAAAGTTGAAGCTTTATTTTGAAAAGTTGGTTACACTTTTACGCTTCAAAGTATTGTCAATCGATAGCCACTTCATTTCGACAACTTTCTTGCAAATCACGGATTCCGCGTCGAAAAATTCTCAGTTTTTTTTCTAATATCCATTAGTCCATACATTCTTTGACTTCATCATAGTTGGAGAAGTGCTGGTCTTCCAGGCTATGATCCATCGATCGGAACAGATGGTAATCGGAAAAAACTATAAGGTGGAATACCCTTTAAAGGAGAAATAATGTATATTCTTAAAATAAAGAATTCCGGGCCCATAAACCTGATATTCAAAGGTGGAATACCCTTTAAAGGAGAAAAAATGTATATTGAGTTTGAGCTCGAAACTTTTACATTCCGTTGAAATATAGTGCGAATTTTTGCAGCACCGATACCTTTTTTTCGCAATGTCTTCCGAATAATAGAAAAAAGTTTTTATGATATTATACAAATACGAAAACAAAATGGAATCAATTTTATTGTTATGGAGAACGCTTTAAAAAAATATTAAATCTGGTTGAATGGTTATTTGAATTTACCATACACGGTATTGCAAAAAATATCTTCTTCATCTCATATGCTGAAATCGCTCCAAAACAAGAAAGGTACAAAATCTTATTGATTCTACCAGCACCGAAGAAATTGCAGTTGCAAACCAAGTTAGCATATTTAAGGAAGGTAAACGCAACTCTGCTGGAATTGTTAAGGAATTTCCAAGATATAAATTTTACTGAATTATTTTTACCTACTGATAAAGCGATGTATGAATCAAGATGCTTATTTATATATATATATTTATAATATGACACAATAACTCAAAGGATTAATAAAATCATTATTATTATTATTATTATTATTAAAGATAGAGAAGTTTACAAAACTAGACTAACTTAGTTGGTAAAGCGCTGGCAGCAAGGCCTTCGGCTTTTAAGGTTAACGATATTAGGTCTATTTAATTACATGTTGTTCGTTGCATTTAGGCTATTTAGTTGGTAAATTTTATTTATGTACATTTTGTGTAAACCTTTAAATTTTGTGGTATAGGTTTGAAGTTTTTAAGAAAATTAGGATTTTTTCTAAGTTATCAGGGTTGAGTTCGCTAAGGAGATTTAGTGGGTTTGCATTTTTGAAGATAGATAGTTTAGTAGGGAGGAGTGATGAGCATGAGTTTAATAGGTGGGGTATGGTATTGTCGCCTTGGCAGAAGGGGCAGGGTGAGGTTTGGTTTTGATTAAAGTAGTGCTCGTGTGTTAGTTTTGTGTGGCCTAGTCTAAGGCGTGTTATTTTAATTTGATCGAGTCTGCTCGATTTGGGATGGAAGGCTCTGCAATAATTGTCGATGTTTAACTTGTCTTTGTTAATGTTTTTGTACCATTGATTGCAGTGTTCTATGTTTAGTTTGTTTCTTGTTAGGAATTCTAGTTTTAGGTGTCTGTTTATGTCTGTTAAATTAATGTTTGGGGTGTAAATAAGGGGCATGTTGCTTGTCGATTTGGCTGTTTGGTCGGCTAGCTCGTTGCCTGCTATGCCTACATGACCAGGGATCCACAATATTTTAGTTTTTGGGGCTAGTTTTGTAAGAATTGATCTGATTTTGTTGGAGTAAAAATTGTTGTTGTTTGGGTTTCTTATGGCGTCAATTGCTGAGAGAGAGTCAGAGCAGATCATGAACTTTCCCCTTGTGTTTTTGATTTGGTCGATTGCTACTAATATGGCTATTATTTCTGCGGAGAGTACTGATGAGTATGGGGGTAGGATACCATATTTAATAATATAAGTATCTGTTGTGATTGCATATGATATAGTGGAGTTCATTTTTGATCCGTCCGTAAATATGAATTTGTGTGTTTTATGGCTGGCTTTGGTGTGTTCGTATAGTTTCCTGTATGTATCTGGTGGTGTGGTTTGTTTCTTGTGCGCTCTAAATGTTGTGTCTATGAGGTTTGGGAGATCCCAAGGTGGCTGGTATTTGTGTAGTTTAACTGGTTCGTACGGTAGGTTTAGTGCTTGACAAAGGTTTAATGTGCGGTCTATGGTTGATGGGTTCTTTTTTGATTTTCTTTGTTTGACAAGTTTGTGTATTGGTGTATCTTTCGAGAAAATAAGGTTTTTTGTAAGTTTGGCTGTTTGAAGGTCTCGTTTTTGCTCTAATGGGAGGATGTTGGCTTCGTATAGTAAGTTATTTATGGGCGTGGTTCGGTAGGCGCCAAGGGCTAGACGAATTGCAGTGTTAAAGGGTGTTTTTAATTTGTTTAGCACGCTTTTCGGAGCCTGTCCGTATAAGAACAGGCCATATTCCATTTTTGCTATGACTGTTGCTTTCGCGACGTGGAGTAGTGTTTGTGTGTTACAATTGAATTTGAGGTTGGAGAGGCATTTTATAATATTCAATTTTTGGTGTAGTGATGGAAGAAGTGATTTTATGTGTGTGTCCCATTTGTATTTACTGTTTATGGTTATCCCTAAGATTTTGAGTGCAGGTACTTGTTGTATTGGTGTGTTGCTACAGCTTATGGTGCTAGTGCAATTGTGTTTTTTGCAAATATGGAGGTGTTGGCATTTAGCTAAGGATAGAGATGCTCCTGAGTATGAGCACCAGCTGCTTATGTCATGTAATAAATTGTCTAGGTTGAAATTAAGGTTTTTGTTGTTTTTGAAATTTATTATCAGGAAAAAATCATCGGCGTATGCGCTAAAATTAATTTCTCTGTGTAAAGATATTACGTTTGAGAGCTTATTGTAATCGATGAGAAATAGGATTACCGATATAGGTGATCCTTGTGGGATACCATTGGATAATGGGAGTGAATTAGACATGTGCGGACCGACTCTGACAATTATTTTTCGTTTGAGCATGAAATTTTTTACATAATTGATTATTTTTGGGCCTGTTTTCCATTCCTGGAGTTGATCAATTATAGTGTGCACACCTACTCGATCAAAGGCTCTTGAAAAGTCCAGAGTGACGAGGGAGGTGTGCCTCTTCGACTTCGTTATAAGATGGTCTACGTATAGGAGACTATCCGAAGTCGATTTGCCTTTTTTAAAGCCGAATTGGTTTGTATTTAAAAGTTGGTTGTGGGTCACAAACCACCATAGTCTTTTCGCTATGATTTTGTCTAGTGTTTTTGCTAGACAGCAGTTGAGGGAAATGGGTCTGTATGACGAGATGTTCGTTTTGTCAGTTTTTGGTTTAAGAATCGGTATGACTAAGCTTATTTTGTAGGCTTGAGGTATGTGGCTGTCGAAAATTTGGTTAAAGAGGTTTTTTATTCTGTTTTTTGTGGTAAGAGAGCTGTTGCGAATCATTTCGTAAGAAATTCTGTTTAATCCTGGAGTGGATCCTCTAAGTGTTTGTAGTGCTGCAATTAGTTCAAGGTGAGTTATGTTTTCATCGATAGTTTTGGCTGTTGTGGTCGGTGTATAGTTGGTTGTGTTGATTTTATATTTGTTATTACGGAATTCGTCTGAGAAGTTAAGGTCGCTTGAGAGCTCTGAGAAGTGTTGCGAGAAGGAGTTGGCTATTTCGAGAGTATCTGTTGTTGTTATGTCGTTTTTGGGATTAAGTATGGCGTGAATTTGTTTGCTTGGGTTAAGACCGCAGAAGCGCCTTATGTTGCTCCATATTTTGGATGAAGGAGTTTCTGGTTGAATGGTGGATGTAAAGGAGATGGAAGCTTCGCTTTTTCTTTTTTTAATTTCAAACCTGTACTTGGCGTTTAAGCGTCTGTAGTTTATAACATTTGTAAGGTTAATGTTGCGATTAAGTGCTTTCCAAGCTAATTGTTTTTCTTTTTTAAACTGTGCTAGTCTTTTGTTCCACCAGGGAACCTTGTAGGGCTTTGTGTTTACTGAGGTTTGTGGGATGGAAATGTTTGCGCTATGTAATATAATTTTGTTAAGTTGTGCGGCTTCTTTGTTGACGTTTAGTGAAGTGGGGAATAATTCGTTATTATTGTGTGTGAGAGTCTCGTATTGCTCCCAGTTGGCTTTTTTTAATATAAAAAATGGTTTTGAAAATTTGTTAATCGTGTTTGGAGGGAATATAGAGATAACTATCGGAAAATGGTCGCTGCCGTGGAGATCATGAAGTATTTCCCACTTGGCGTGTGGGGCAAGTGTTGCTGAGCAAAGAGAAAGGTCGATATGCGTGTATGTGTTGTGTGTTGAGAAGTGTGTGGGGGATTTGTCATTTAGTAAGATTAGCTGTGTGTTGTCAATAAATTGTTGTATTGTTTTTCCTCGAGAATTAGTTTTCGGGGAACCCCAGGCAGGGTGCCATCCGTTAAAGTCTCCTAGAATTAGTGATGGTGTTTGGTTGTTGTACAAAGTGTCTTCAAGCATTTGGTTTGTGACGGTTCTGTTTGGGGCAATGTATGTTGTCTTTATGTGCATGTTCTTCTTAGATTTTATGTGTATTGCTAGAGCTTCAAGGTCGTTTGGAATGTTTACTATTGAATATTGAATTGACTTGTGTATTAATAGCGCTACGCCTCCAAATCTATTGGTGGCTATGTTTGTTAGTAGTGTGTAATTTATTGGAGTTGGAATATTTTTAGTGTATTGTATGTGTGTTTCTTGAAGTGTAATGATATGCGGGGAGTATTTTTTAATCAGGATTAGGAGATTATTATAGTTGTTTGAATATCCTTGGATATTCCATTGAATTAAAATTAGTGACATTCTAGTAGTGTAAGAAGTTCTAAGGTTGAACCTTAAAGTAGGGGAGATCTGTGGTTTTTAAACCGATTCGCTGTCGCTGTTAGTGGTATGTTTGTTTTTGTTAGAGGATTTGGCTTTTGATTTAGTTGGTTTAAAGTTAGTACATAGAGGGTTTGACTTATCTTTAGGGAAGAGTTTTAGTTTAAGTTCCTTTGTGAGTTGAGATCGGTATGCGGTTGTTATTTTGGTGGGGTTCATGTTGTCCGTTTCCATGTCTTCGGTGTCGTCTTGGTCGTGTTGGTTGTGGTTTTGGAGAGTGTTTTCCGGTGCCGGTGTTGTTTTGATTGATGCAGATGAGGTTGGTGTGTTTGCTTGGTTGTGATCGCAGGATGTGGATGTAGTTTGTGCATTTGAAGATGTTGATGTGAGTGTATTTGGGGATCGGGTTCCTATTGTGGTTGTGGTGTTTGTAAGTGTGTTTGCATAAGAGTTTCTTGTTTTGTATCCGTGTCGCTCAAAGTATATACCCAGAGCAGTTCTATGATCGACTTTTTCGGTGGTTTTTATGGCAGTGAGTTCTTGTTGTTTAAGGAATGTGGGGCATTTGCGGTCCAAACGGCTGTGTTGTGAGTCAATTTCCGGATTGTTTGCGCAATTTAGGCATTTTTTGTCGTTTTTGCAAAGTTCTCCTTCGCTGGTGTGTTTTTCATCTGAGCAGTTTAAACATTTTTCGGTGCTCTTGCATATGGGTGCAGGGTGTCCGAAGCGGAGGCACTTTCTGCAACGCATTGGGAGAGGGATGTAGTTGCGTACGCGAAAGGATTCATACCCGACTCGCAGTATTTCAGGGAGTTGATGGGTTTCAAACGTAATTATTATGAGTCCGGTTTCTGTTAGGTTGTTGTTGTTGTTGGTGTTGTTGTTGGTGTTGTTGTTGTTATTGTTGGTGTTGCTGTAGTTGTTGGTGTTGGTGTTATTGTTGGTGTTTTGTCTCTTCATTATTTTTTTGACTTCAATTACTTTCTGTGGTTTTAGTTCGCGGAGGATTGTTTCTTCGTCTATGTATCTAAGGTCATTACAGTAGATAACGCCTTTTGAAAAATTAAGTGTTTTGTGTTCGGTTGCTGTTATTTCCATATCTCCGATTTTGGTAAGTTTTAGTAGTTTTGTGGTTTGTGTGTTGTTTTTTGTTTTTATCAAAAGTCCGCCGTCTCTGGTTTTTTTCACAGAATCAACTCTTCCTCCGCAGGCAAAGTCCACAGATTTCTCAATGATGAAAGGTGAAACGGTTTTAAATGAGGATTCATTTTTACTTTTAATAACGATAAATTTGGGTTCTCCTAGTTGATACGATCTCGTAGTGTATTTTGCTATGTCTGGTGGCTCGTGCATGGTTGCTTGTAAAGGGCTTACGCCCGAGTGGTAAGAAATGGTGTGTTTTTTGTTTTTGTCTTTTTTTGTTTTGTTTTGTGCTTAATATTTGTTTTTCAAGTTTTGCTGATAAGCTCAATGGGTTTTTTGCAGACGCGGGATCGATGCTGTTCTAATACGACTTGTCTCTTCGGAGGTTGAAGTGGTACTGAATAAAATCATTAAAAATCGTTTACCTTCCTATGATAAACCAAAAGAGAACGCTTTCGTCGAGTGTCCGACCATTAGATACCCGTTACTCAGCTTCAATCTCCAAAATAAGTATTTTCCCTGCAAAACAATCGATGTTTAGGTGGCGCCATCTGTCGAAATGCATAGCCAACACTTGAAGCTAAGAGCGTGCAGCACAACTACTACAACGCTAACAGTTCTGTCATTCTCTCTCTCTTTCTCATCTGCTAGCAGACGTAGAACAGAGGGGCGGTATAACTTCTAAAATAATAGCTCGATTTTACAAAAAATGTTGTGTCTACCGATAGATATGACCGAAACGCACACACAGAACCAACCCTTACGTTCTAACATGTCTCAGAGGGACAGTTCATACTTTCCCGATTTGTGGGCGTAAAAGTGGACGTAACTCCATATTGAAATAAACCTGCTTAGTAACTACTAGAATCTGCTTTCCAAGTCCCAAATCTCTAGCTTTTATAGTTTCCGAGATCTCCACGTTCAAACAGACGGACATGGCTAGTTTGACTCGGCTATTGACCCTGAGCAAGAATGTATATACTTTATATGGTCGGAAACGCTTCCTTCTACCAGTTACATACTTTTCAACGAATACAATAATGGATACCTGAGTTTGACTTCTCTCACCCTCTAAGTAGCAAGTTGTTGGCTAGTTTTAACCGCTTCTTTGAGCCAGGTGATCTATGAGCTTGCCACTCTCTCCTGCGGAGCAGATCTTTAATAAATCTAGAAGCACTACTGCTGTTGAAAGGTTTTCTAGGTGGTATTATTGAAGTAATATCATAATAAACACTAATGCTTCTACTGAGCTGTCGATGTCTTCAGCCAATCTGTTTTACTAGAAGTTAGAAAGTGTGGGCGTTCTGAAAGCTTTGGTCATAAAGGTGAAGTAAGATTGTAGAGTGATCCGATGATAGATCGGACTCTCAGCCTTATTTTTAAGATCTGTTGGCCAGTATGTAGGCTTGCCCGGAGAGATAAAGTCAAACTTGTTTCGTGGTGTTATTATAGCGTTGTACAGTTGTCTTCCTTTGGGGTTGGTGAGTCGTGAATCCCAGCAGCTACAAAGCGGTCACCCAGCAAAATATTTTACAAATTCTGCTTCGGAAACGGAAACAATATACGGCGGCTATGTTTAAGTGTCTTTGTGAATTGATGTTGCTTGTATTTAAGTTGTTGCAAATGATAGCAGTTGGTAATGTCTAATGCGATTCTTGATCAGAATGCCAGTACCTTCATGTCCTTTACCAACGGGATAATTTGTCGCACACAATGTATATCCATTAAAATGAAAATAATTTTTGTTCGTTGAGTCTCTGATATAAGCATTCCGTCAATGTCATATTGGTCTAAGAGCTAGTTTTAGTGCTGCGAAATGCCATTTGCATTTCAGAAAGATAATATTAGTAAAATCATCTTAACTGATTTTTTTTTAATTAAGAGCTCAAAAAGGAGATTTTGTGTACGCATAAGATCCTATAGCGTTTTTTGCATTGCTACCATTATGTTTGTTATAGTTACCAACATTGGTTTTAGCCCATTCGTCAATTTAATAATTTCAGGACCCTGTTTCGATGTCTGTTGCTGCGTTATTCCAGCAGTGGCTTGGGAAGGTGTCGGCCTAGCCCCTGAGGCATATGACCCGTTCTTATAGCTTAGCGCCTGAGCGAAATAAACTCCCGGTTGATGGTATTACTGTATGTTTTGTCGGCTGACTGGTTTTCGAGCTACAGGTTTTTTTTTGGGTTACCGGGTTTTTTACAGGGCAACCTCTGTAGTTGGCAGTGTGATTTCCCCCACAGTTGCTAAATTTTTTAGCAGAATGGTCCACCTTATTTACAGAGCATGCCTTAGTTGGATGTGCATCACCACAGGCTACGCAGACGGCGGGCAGGGTCCACTTCGTTCTCGTTTGCTTATATTCCTGACAATTTCTCAATGGTGATTCTGCGGTGCAGTAGGTATTGAAGTTTATAAATTGGTTGAACTTCATTATTTTTAAGTGCATATTTTCAGGTTGCAATTTGGGGAATTTATATTTTTTTATATTCATGGCCATTTTGACGTCAAAGCCCTTTTAGGTGCCGCTTTTATCTCATCAATCGGAACTGTCGATTCGATTCCTTTAATTACCACTTGCAGTCCTTTGCTACTTTTCAGTTGGTAGGTGTAGTAATTTTTTTAGGTTTTATTTATATTGCCCCTTTTAATGGATGTGAGGTAAAATTTGTTTACGCCATTTTTTTGCTGATAACTAATCCGCGTCATTTTTTAAACTTTGTTTTTAGAGCTTGCGTTCTTATACGTCACCTCTTTTTTTTACTATATCCTTTAAATAGTTTTTTATTGAAAAATTTGAAAATTATCATGGGCACGAGCACACATACTCATGCCTACCCTAAGGGTCCTTTCGCGAATTAAATTTCGGATATTTTCACTATATTTTTAATCGCACGGCGGACCGAAACACAATACGTCCGTTGTTTTTTTGGTAATTAATTTGTAATTAAAAGTACAACATCTCATAGATGTCCTGTGAAAATTTCGTGACGATCGGACTAAAACTCTCTGAGATACTGATTATCTCTTAATCGTACTCAAGGAAGGTATGTGGTATGTAAAATCTTTAGATGCGTTTTTCTCAAAACTAAATAGGAGTGTAACGTAACTCAAGAGGTAATGGTCCGATCTAAATGAAATTTTGCACACGTCTTTAATACATTAAATACTTGCGGATGAAGAAGTTTTTTTTTTTAATTTTTGTTATATTTTTACAGACAATTAAAACAGCTGGAAAATTAAAAGTCGCATATTTTTCGTTCATCCGGAAAATAAACTTACATATTAAAAAAATCAATTTTTTTAAATATCACTGTGAGTCCAGGCTTTACGCACCGTAAGCCGCTCCTTTTTATACCTTTGTAGAGGGTATTATAATTTCAGTCAGAAGTTTGCAACGCAGTAAAAGATAAATTTCCGACCTTATAAAGTATTTATATTCTTGTCTGTCCTTCTGTCCGTCGAACTTTCCGTCCGTTTCCACACAAACTAATCCCTCATTTTTAAAGCTACCTTCAAGAAACAAGTTTTCAAAAGTTGTCTTTTCATAGCTGGTAGTACGAGCGCTCCGGCTCGTTCTTTGTTGTCCAATTGGAAACTTCCTCTTTTGAACCGGTCAAACCACTTTTAACACGTTTGCATTTGTACCATAAGCTTCAGCTTAAATACGGAGTTTTTTGGCAGCCTTTTTCTTCGTACTGCAGTAGCGAAGTAAAACCAAAGCAAAGCAGACATTTTTGAAGCGCAATAAAAAGTAGCGACACCTGTAAATGAAACCGAACGAACTTATTTGTACACCCAATTCTAATATTAATATTGTGAAATCGCAAATCCCTGAATTGAATAGTTTCCAGCATTTTTAGTTTTTCAGATCACGTGCATACTGACGGACATATCTAAATCGACAATTTAATGTCACGGCAAGCAATAAATTTGCGGCGATATTATTAAGCTGGGTACACTTTATATGTATATAAATCTTTGGATATTTACCACAAAAAATCCAACATTTTTGATATAAACTGTGCTCTTAAAATCAAAAGAATCCGCATTTTTAATCTTTTGACTAATTTACGGACTAACAGACAAACGAACTTGTATACTCTATAATTTACGGGTATGCAATGATCCAATTTGGTTTCGATTTATCAATGAAATAAATTTCCAAGTCTAATTTCAAAAAAATGTTATGGTCAACTGGATCCCAATCATATTATGACATCTAAATAATATCACTGAAATCTTATAAAATTACCATATTTCTAGTCATATACAATTATAACGAAACTATGCTAAAATGTACAATTTAAGGATGGATTCGTGTAAACGGATCGTCTTTAAAACTTGATGTGTGTAAAGATATAAAAAGTTTTGAAAGTACAAATTTTAGAAACATATTTTTTTAAAACTATATGTGTAGATTACCTGTAAAATATTGAGCCTATATTATATTACGTTTATTTTGCCATCGGATCCATTTAGCACAGAAAAAATATGGGACAGTAAATCTTTAACGATAACCCAATCAGAACATTTAGTGGATATTAGCTTTAAAAATTCTAGTGACTCTCTTCGTACGATGTCCCCTTTGCTGTACAAATTTTTTATAAGAACTTTTCCAATTTTTTGAGCATAGCGACTACAATCAAAATTCAACATTTTAAAAGTTAGCCCAATACTTTCAAGTGTATTTTCCGGGCTTGGTAATATTGCCCTCTGTAAAGCTGGGTATACATAGGAATCAAATTCTTTTTCGGTGAGTGACTCCAGTAATGGACGGCAGGCTGCTATGAACGACTTGTCAGGTTTGTATTTGCATGAGACCATACTCTTTACAAAGCATTTCGATATTTTTTCCGTATATTTTTGTAGTATAAATGTCTTATTGCTTTTAGATTCAAATTGAATCATGACCATGATCATAATAGTAACGTTGCTAGTTGCTTCAATTTGAAATATGATGTCCAAAGTTTCATAAAAAATTGAAGTGTTATCCCATAACTCATACATTATTTTTGTTCTTGCGTCTGTAATTCTTTGGTTTGAAGATAATAAAGTTATTTGATAGAATAAAGATTGATATTCAATTAATTTTTTTTTCGGTTTTGAAGATGTTGGAATCACGGTCTGCTATCTTCTGTATTAGAGAAATCCATCCCAGTGCTATAACGGCCGATTTAGAAGATTTTTGTGGGGAAACACCAGCGAATTCTTTGAACAAGAGAGTTTTAAAGACGTTTAACATATGTTCAATTGTTAAATCATGATGAATTGTGGTGAGATCAACAATCTCTAACCACTCGTTGAGATGCAAGATCCTTATACTTGGTTATCGTAGTTCCAATGACTTTACAAATTCCTCGAATTATTGTTGAATTTATACCTATAAAAGACGAATACAAACACAGCTCTCACCGATGAGCTGGGTAAGATGCTCGACGAAATGATCGCGAAATTCATTGACACCAAGAGTAACAATAAGAAGGTTGTCCGTCATGTCACCCAAGCCACGATCGACTCACTGCAGGCTATGATCTGCAAAGCTGCAAAGCGAGATAAGTGCGACGCTGGACGAAACTCACGACAGGGCTCCTGTCCGCCTGCGCAACCCAGCCGACAACGCCACCGATTGTTGGCCCAGGACAAGAAGCCTCTAGCACAGGGTGCATACTGGCGCAGGGAACCAGACGAGAAACTCTTGCTGGCAGCAGGTTAGACGCAAAACCAAGAAGCCCCGCGAGACTGCTGAGAATATCAGGGAAAGCGAAGATCACGTGAGACACACCGTGAAGCGGAAGAGCCAGCGTCCTGACGCTATCCTAATAAAATGCATCGAAGCATCGTACGCAGACATGCTGAAGTTGGTTAAAACCGAGCCTACCCTACAGGGGTTTAAGGATGAGGTACAAGGCATACGCAGGACAGCCAATGGGAGCCTGCTACTCAAGATGCAGAAACCCTCAGACCCAGCCACGCAGCGGGCGCTGCACCTAGGATGCGAAAGGCCTATGGCGGAACCCAAACGGCGACGGTTCACCTCAGACAAGAGCATGCACAGCGGATCCTCGCCAAGGGGAAAATCAGGGTAGGAACCTAAGCCACTGCAGAGCGGCGCAGGACCTACTAACCCAGACGGCAATCGAACAACAGGCTGATGTGGCAATACTCAGCGAGCCCTATATGGCCAAACACGAAGGCGTATGGCAACATAGCGCGGACGGTAGAGCAGCGATTTGGAGTTGCGGGCAGCCTTCTGGACACCTATCGCAAAGGCCATCCATGGCGGGTTATACCAGAGCGATGTTCAGAGGACTAACAATCTACAGCTGCTACATAGCCCCGAGCGTACGCATAAGCAAGTTCAGAGCAATAATGCAGGAGATCGCTGACGACGCACGCGGCAGGTCACCAATCCTCATCGCAGGTGATTTCAACGCATGGTCCACAACATGGGGCAGCGCTAGTACGACACTGCGGGGAACCATCCACCTTGAGGCCTTGGCTTCGTTAAATGTTTGCCTACTCAACGAAAGGAACAGACCAAACTTTAGCAAGTCAGGTCGGGAATCGATTATCGATTGGACCTTCGCTAGCCCAGAACTGGCACGTATCTGCGCATGGAGGGTGTCAGACATCTACACTCGAAGCGACCACGCGCTGATCACGATGCCTCCATGGAAAAAACCACGAAAGGTGGTAATGGGCGAAGACCAGTGGTGGAACGAGGAGATAAACGGTGCGAGGAGAGATTGCCTAGCGGCCCGACGCAGGTGTCAGAGAAGCAGGGCCAAGAGAAAGGTGCTGAAAGCCAGCAAGGCCAGATGCTTCCAGGAGCTGTGCGAAGCTGCAGATACAGAACCATTCGGGTGAGCATACTGTAGTATGCACACATATTGAATACCCACTGTACCAAGAGTACTTAAAGGGTACACACTGTAACACTTTGTTGCAGTGTTTACATAATCAAACATGCCCCGGTCATCAACTTAAGTGTCCGAAATATGAACCGATCGCTATGCCTTGGACTACACACCGAAAGTGCTAGCGTCAGCATAATTGCAACACGAACGGAACTCATGCGCATATACCTCCCGCTCCCGCTTAAGAGAGCATAGCTCATATACTTAAGCATTTACATAGCCGTCACTCTGCCGCCGTCTGTGGGCAGCGCAGCGAGGAGACATAGCCTTACTTAGAATTAAAAGAATAAGGTAAGAGCCAGAAACATTTAAACGTTGAAGTGGCACCATTGCTGCTTCCCTTAATAAAGAATTAAATAAATATTTCAAAGAACTTAATGCTTTGTGAGATCTGGAAGGTTCTACTTCATGGCGACCGTGACATGGTCCTGGAGGACCTGGATCTAACAAGGATATATGGAAGAATATCAACCTGGAACACTGGCAAAGGAGAAAAGAGAGAAGCTGAGTGATTAGAGTATTGTGAGTGATGGGTCGCGGTGAAGTTATTAAAAAGTTGAGCAAAGAAAATCTAAAACACCGTGGAAGGCAACTCCTGAGCTACAGGTCAGCCTTGAAGGAAATAAAAAAATAAAAACCCAACACCGCAAGCTCAACCAGCAAATATTCAAGTTATCAATGAAATCAAAATAACGAAACCCAACTCTAACGCCATAACCGAGGAAAGAGAAATCCTGCCACAACGGTTGCCCGGGACCACTTATATAGCCCGGCGTGCAAATCAACCTGCATGAAGCCACGACTCACGACCTGTGCGAAGACCGGCACCGGCCCCGCCTGAACTCATAGGCTCGGGACAACTGCAGCAGATAATTCAACAAGCGCGAGAGGCTCACCGCCCCTTGCGCTTCGAAGGAACGTCAGCGAAGCCAAGCCGGCGACGACCAGCTGACGCGGGGAACACCGAAAAAAAAAATAATTTTATTACCATTTGCACTGAGTTGCATAATTTTTTTAATTGCACTGCGAAGCATATTTTTTTTAATAATATAAAATAATTTTGTTAAACTGAGCCGAACCCTTTCTGCCCAGTTAGAAGTATGGCCCGTAAAGCCATAGAAAAAATATACAAATACAAATCTCAAAAATTTTCTTAAAAAAAAAAATAAAAAAAAAAAAAATTAAATTTAAAACAAAAATTTCTATTAAAAAAAAAAATAACAATTTAATCATTATCATTCCATGAGCCAATATACATGGCACATTAATTATAAATTGAGAAACACAACAAATATAATTGGAACAAATTATAAAACACCCAAAATGGGTTTAGTAAATAAGATCGAATCTGAAAAAATTTATACAGAAATGATCACAATAATGATAATAATAATAAAAGCAGTTATAATGCTTACATTATGAGCTTTTAAAACTATATAAATTGCATAATAAGTGCCTTCTCAAAAGATTTCAAAGTCAAGCAAACTACTTGGACAAAATTTAAAACTTGCCCATCATAATTGCGATCATTATTGGCATTAATAAAATAAAAAAAAAATGTTTTAACACATTCTATAAAATTACAATAATTTCCAATATCATCCTTATTTTTTTAAAACCAAAAATAAACACTCTAGAAGCCATTACAAAGGTGTACAGGAATGACCCAAATATTCAACATAGAATTCTACAATTGGTCTCAACTACCCCGAGGAGCATATTAGAGCTCGAATACAGTTACATTGGTTTATTCAGGTTAGATTTTTTGATTCATTGCTCCAGAACACAAAAAGGAATTGTATTATCACAATTCAAGGAGTTTTTGTAAAATAAATTATAAAAGAAAATGAATATTTAGGACGAACACTAGATTTCGTAGCTTACAATAAGCCTTAGTATGGAATGGGAGAAATTAATTACCCATATCCATAAAATAAAAGAAGCATTTATTAAATTCTATACAAGCTTAAGCCAAAAAAGGCCAATACAACAAGATACAATAAGAAAACATGCAAAAATACTTGTCGATGTATTTAATGAGGCAAGAGTATTAGTGCATGAAAATAGAAAAATAATAAGTAAAACGAACTGGTCAAAGTTATCAAAATTATTTATCAAGTTACTTTCGAACTTATTAACAGTCAGAGAGAGGTATAAATTGGATATAACTATACCAACAATTTTAAATACCCCTCTGACATTAAATCCAAGTGAAAAACTTGAATCAAATAACCCTGAACCAACTGAGTCAGACACACAAGAAAGCTCAGACTCTGAGGTAGAGGAAGAAAATAAGTTAGAAGAAACCGATCTACACGATCTAACAATCCCTGCGGTATTAACAATACCAAAAATACTGAAAATTCAGACCTGGGAATTATAGAATCTAAGCCTACCATAATGGCAGACGAAACCATTGCCCAGCGGGACATACATAAAAGATATATCAAGCGCCATAGCCCGAATTCAATGGCCAAAAATTGAATCTACGAAGATTCATAACAGTGGCCAAGTTGGTTGACTTAAGAAAAGGACCAATTGTAGCGTGTAACGTTCGACTAAAGTGCAAAGTTCTTTAATGTTTTCAAGGATCTGTATTGGCTGCGCACGCTAAATATTCCGGCTCTAGCTCGTCGGCTTGGGGGGTGGAGGTCTTGCTCGTACAGATCTTGACACTGTCTACGTATTACTATTAATAAAATCAGAATTGAGCGTGCATGCGACAAAATCAAAAGCTAGATACTTAACCGGAATAAAAGATGCATAAATTAGAAAAGAAAAGTTTTGAGAAATTATTGAAAGGGGACAGTGTAAAAGAAAGAGAGAGAGAAATTTGTTGTTTGCGACGCCATAGATGTAATTTGGCTCGCATATTGCCCACCCTACCTATGACCACCTGCCGCTAGAGCATAACTCTGGTGATCCCTTTTATACCCTACGACCGCAGAGACATCAGCTGAGTTCAGTTATTTAGTTTTCTTTAAGCTTTCATTTTAATAATTATTTCAATTGATTTCAATGAGAACATTTTTAATCTTTCTAAGATAATTTACAAACGAGAAAACAATTTCGGCGAGAAAAGATAAAAATATAATACGCGTTAAACCTCATGGGTAAATACCGGGCTTCACAGGTGTATATAATTATTAATGTAAAGTATATTAGGAATAGTTAAAAATAAGTATAGGGTATATTGAACAAAATGATCTTTAAAAACAAGAAAGAAAGCAAACTTCGGCAAGCAGAAGTTCATATACCCTTGCAGCTA